AACTACAAGGACCATGTATGAGCCACGGCATTCACGTGGTTCAACATTCCAGTAGATAAAGATCGGATTTTTATCGATGCATTCGAGTTTAAAACTTGTTTTTTTCCTTCTAAATTGTTGTATAGGCAGGATCTATCGGAAAGTGAGCAATAACTGCAAAAGATATAAAATGTAATTTCGAACTCTCCTTTTTTTCCGCAATAATGATAAAAGATTATGAAAAAATGGAGGAACGACGTCATCAATTTTGAGAGAATTATCAATGAATTTGGTGAGAAGTAAATGTAAATGGGGCCAGAACTCAGAAGAGGTATATGCATCCTATCAAGGGAAAAAGAAGATGGCTCGGGTTTTGCATAAACAAGGATGAAACTTCTCTCCCATGTCGAATTCTTGTCGCAAGTTCATCACTTTTTCCTTTTTACAATTTCTGGGTTTCTTGGTCTTTTTATTTTACAAGCATGTTTGAAATTTACACGTTTGCATACTCATTTTGTTCATAAAAGTTTATATATTTACATGAGAATAGGAACAAGATTTCAGGCTGGCAAACACTTGAATGCACTTGAATTAAAAAACAACATTCTGGGATCCAAAATTTCAACTGATGGGGTCAGTGGAGCGATGTTGGTTATGGAACTCACACGAACCTGCTACTGCTAGCATTGTTTACTCAGTTGTCCCTGTGAAAGAAGAGTAAAGTGAAAGCCATTAAAATTCAGTTTTTCATGATAGTTTTGTCACTACATAGTCTATAATAGACCTGCTTCTTCTGCTTGATTTTCTGGCTGTGAAGATGTGCTCGATTGGCTCTTCGAGGTTTCCAAGTTCTTGAGCTGCGGATCGCTTATTACTTCCTGCACAAGATAAGACCTTGTCAAAAATTATGGTGTTGAAGAATGAATTTTATTGCATGATTCGCTAGATTATGTGTATGTTGAATGCAGAAATGGATGTTAAATTCATTGCTTCCAATCCCTAAAAAAAATTTTAGGATTTGGAGGGTACATTTCCTTCACATCTAATCCATCGTCTACCTTCAACTTGGACAAGATTTGGAAGTTGCATGCATTTCTTCCTTCAACATGCATTGATTCCAATCAGTTATCGTATCCAATTGAATCCTAGACACTTAATTTGTAATACCAGGAATATATAATATGGGGGGTTGAGAATTTCTGTTTAGTTTTTTAGGTAGACATATGAAACTAAATGCTTCTGAACTTTTCGGTTTTCTTACTTGTTGATCGGCAGCGTGACTGTGATTAGGGGAAGGGCTATAATTGCCTCCTAATAACTTGTGGTTCATCTTTTCGTCAGCAAATTCTCTCAGTTTATTCAGTGCCGGCAGTATCACAGTGCCAAGATCTGGCCTGTCCTTTCGTCTAAGTTCTGCACATTGGATTGCTAGCTTTGCAAAGCTCAATGCTTCTTCATATGGCCAATCAGGCACAGCTGGGTCTAGCATCCCCGCGAATGTGCCCTTTTCAATTGCAGTTTCGACCTGGTGAGTCAACCCCATAGGTGGCCTACTTGTTACCAATTGAAGAAGCATAATGCCTAAGGAGTACACATCAGATTTTACACCAAGCATTCCTGTCTGCTGATACTCAGGGTCAATATAGCAGAATGTTCCGGCCGTAGCTGTCATGAGGCACTGTGTCACGTTTTCAGCAACAGCTGGGACAAGTCTAGCTAATCCGACATCACTAATCTTGCTCACGTAGTTTTGATCTAGCAAAATGTTGCCCGGCTTGAGGTCACGGTGCACCAAGGGTTCCGGCTTGGTCTGGTGAAGAAAAAGTAGGCCTGTGGCAACTTCAGCTGCTATTTGGAACCTCAGTTGCCAAGACAGAGCTGGGGTGTTCCCTTTCCTTGAGAGACAGTCATCTAAGCTTCCATTGGCCATGTATTCATATACTAGAATGCCATACTCTGGACAGGCTCCTAGAAGTAACACCATGTTGGGATGTCGAATGCAGCTAAGTATGTCGATCTGCATTGAATCATGAAAGACGATGTTAGCTAAATTTTTCCATATGATATCTTTGTACTTTTATATGTTTGTCGTATGAAACTTAGAACGAAATGTAAGATAATAAGCATGTTGTAAAAGAAAAAATGCATGTTCAACTTGTAACGGAAAATATTACAATGTAGGATAGCTAATTTTATTCGGAAATCTTTGGCCATTGTGTGGAGTTCACTACTTATACTTACCTTTTCCCAATGGAATTCTTTTTAGCACAAAACCAAGTTAAAAGAAAATTTAACGAATCATGAGAGCTAGTCAAGACTCTCAGTCCCTTACCTCTTTCTGAAACTGTGACCTTCCTTGAGCAGCATCCGGACGCAAGACCTTGACTGCAACCGGTGTGTGATCGAGGTAACACTTATAGACAGGACCATAGCCTCCTTCCCCAATCTTTCGAGACGGCAAAAAGTGTTCTGTTGCTTCTTCAATCTCCTCAATGGAATACCTCCTATACTTGTCATCAGTGTGGGCTAGATTTGATAATAGCTTCCTCATGTCCTCTGCTTCTCTAAGAGCCTTAATTTCTGCGTTTGCCCGTTTATTTGACTCCAACTCTGCAATCCTTTTAGCTGCATCAGCTGCTTCTATGGCTGCCTTGCACCTAGCTTTTTCTCTCTCCGCAACTGCCTGTGCTGCTTCTTGAGCCAATCGTGCTTCCTCAAGTTTTTGTTCCTCTTCAGCCCTCCAGCTGTGCAGCTCCATTTCCTGTAGGGGACGTAAATTTGAATGGAATCATGAAAAAATGCAGAAAGAAAATCTAACTTGCACTCACTTTCTGTTTAGCTGTAAGTGCTTCTCTGCATGCCGTGCTGTACATGTCCATTGTTTGCTTCAGCTCTAGCTTTAGCCTCCTCATCTCCGATTCTACTTCTTCCTGCGTTAGTTTAATAAATGCAGTGAAAAAAAATCATCTAGATAGTGTACAGAAAGATATTGCAACAAAATTTGAGAAAGCAATGATGGTGAAAAAATTCATCATATAAGGTGTAAAAGGTTTGAGATTTTCGGTTGCTTACCAGGTTCTCTGATGACCATGAAGATGATGTTTGGTTGCTTTCATGTGAAATTGACGAGAAGTCTTGCGGAAAATTGAGTTCTGCGAACTTAGGTCCTAGGCGCATTGATCCAAAGCTTTGGTCTGAGCTGGTAGATAGCCGCCCTCGGTCCATATATTCATACATCACAGATGAAGCTCGGTCAGTGCTTGCCCTGTCGGAGCTTATAAATGATCTCTCACTTTCCGATTCTGAGAACCCTCCACTAATCCTTCCATTACTAAAGCCTCCTCCTCTTGTATATGCATATCTGTTTCCAATCAGGACGATGGATCAGTCTTTTCGGTAGATTTAATGATAGCAATCAGTACGCATAACAGCATTGTGAGAAGAAATTGCCTTGCCACGTCATGTTGTACCCAAAAACCAGGTTTAGTATGCTATGACTTACCTGGAAGCTTCATCTGGCAAGTTACGAGGCCTGAACGATGGTCTGGCTGCTGGATAGAGAGGATCCAAAAAATGCGTTTATTATTGCTCAAGCAAAATTGGTTTTGAAGATAGCTTAATTAATAATTGAAAGAAACAAACCTTTCAAGTACATATTCTGTCTAGGTGTTTCAGCTGCTTTAGCACTTTGCTGATTTAATGCCTCTATTTGGGCAAGTAGTGGAGAACTGTAAGCTGCTGGACGAGAAGCATGTCGCTCAGAGTGGATTTTCCCTTTGGAGATGACATATACGGTGCAGAAATCAGGTGCCCCTTTTGATACACTGCTTGGAATACTTGATGATTTGAATCTGCACAAACGTATGTTGGGTTTACACGTACTATGGCATCGATAAATGTGTGAGTCAAATACATTAACCATGGCATTTTGAAAACAATCAACGTGTTCCTGCTTGGATCAGCATCATGCTGTTATTTTGCAGAATATTGAGTAACAATATGTTTTCATCGATAGTGTGTGCTTTCGCTCGCGGATAATGCTTTTTCTTATTGTAACATTTTGTTCAATTGTCATTCTTTGCATGATCTTGGTGGAAATATGAAGAAAAATCTAATAAAGGTAAATATTAGACCGAGGCAATTACCTTATAAATCCATGCTTTGTTGGAGCTCCCAGAACCAAATTCTCAATTGCAGCGTAAGAAGCATATTCTGTTACTGCTTTTGCTATATCTGAGTCTTCAAGTATGATATCAATGCAGTTTATCTGAGAAAGCAAATTTGCAAGACATGAGAAAACAATTGAAAAGTAACAAAAATATAACTATACAAAACTATGAATCATAATACAGGAAATGCGATGATAATTCATTCTTCCCAAAAGGGTACATTTATTTGTTTTTTAAATGATGGTATGTACTGTTTAAGACAAGTTTTTGTAAGACACGCTTTGATACGTATAATGTGTTCACTGCAAAGTCTGATAATGCATTAGATTTTAGGGTTCTGCTCCAAAAACATTAATAAAACATTTCATGCAGGGTGGTCATGGAATAAGCTTTCAAAGGAAGAGCTCCAAAACCTACATCCTTACGAGCACAATAGCAATGGAAGGTAAGGAACAGATCCTTGGTCATCTTTTCGAGCTGCTGTTTGCGCGGTGATTGAGACAGATTGTTTATATTGCATACAATGGCATTGTTTCCAGCTACTGCACCAAAAATAGAAGTTGTAACACTGTCTTCCATTGAAAAGTAAATTTTTAGCTCCAGAGAGAGAGAGATTACTTGAAGAACAAACTGATGATGTCTTCTGAACAACATGTAGTAAAATGACAGTTTGGCCCTTGGTGAGAAGATGCTCAGCAGCCCATCGGAGTGCATTTTGGCTCCCTTTCTGATTGTCTATGGCAACTGCCACCAATCCATTTCCTCCTGCTCCCTTCTTTGCTCCATTTCCTCCTTTTACAGACCACATTTTCTCAAAATCCTCTATGAAAAATAGAATGTTTCTAGGATACAGTTTTCTATGGGGACATCCGAGAATACTAGAATGATACAGAGAAGATAAGCATGACCTCTCCACAAAGATGATACACATAAATCGAGAATGTTAACTGGCCTAGAGATCTATGAGTCCTGAAATCTGTTGTTCCTGATGAAACGAATATAGAAATAAAAATAAATTACTATAGTTTAGAATTTAGGGTTTACAATGACTTAGGCGGCACAACAGGCATATGAGTTTTTACATTTGTTTGGTCTTTCTTTCCTGTTTTTTTTTGTTCAGAACCTGGCGGTTTTTCTATTTTGGCTTTTCAAATAGAAGCCTCAGAATTCAGATAAAAATGAAAAAAGCAAAATATGAGGCAGCCTGGCGATTGAGAGAGTTGCTGCCAAAAGTAGAAGATCTAAGAATAGGCAATGGATACCCCCCTCTCTCACAAAATACATTTTTTTTAGTGACGATATATCTGGGTGAGGACTTGAATTTTGAATTTTTTAAGCTAACTACTATAAATATTGGGTAAGTAGCCTAAATGGTCTCAGAGATTTGCATAACTCATCACTTTGGTCCCTAACATTTCAAATCAATCAAAGTGGTCCCTAAGATTGTCCACCATCCATCATTTTGGTCATTCCGTTAAAAACTCCGTTAAGTGTCCCGGAACTTTTAGCTGGAAGTTTGGGCAATTTTCAAAGCTTCGTAACTCAATCGTTTCTTAACCAAATTCGACCCATAATATATAAAATGAAGATAGGAAAGTGTAGAATAAGATTATACCAATTTGGAAGCCCAATGGTTGCCAGAGATGGCCGGAAAATAGCCTCAAAGTTGACTGGTCCGAGAGAAAATTGGAAAACTCACCGGAAACTAGGTAAATTTTAAATGTTCATAACTTCTTCAATACTTAACGAAATCAAGTGATTCAAAAAAAAAAATCATACTCCTCGATGAGAGGAAGAGAATGTCACCTTTTTAGATGGCTAACTCGTCGTGGTTTGGCCGGAAAACTGCTCGAAAATGGCTGTCCACGGCAAGTTAGCCATAAAAAAGGTACCATTTTCTTTATCACGTTGAGAAGTATGATTTTAGTTTTTGAATCACTTGATTTTGTTTAGTATTGAAGAAGTTATGAACGTTTAAAGTTTACCCAGTTTTCGGCGAGTTTTCCCTTGGACCAGTCAACTTTGAGGCTATTTTCCGGCTATCTCCAGCAACCATTGGACTTCCAAATAGGTATAATCTTATTCTACACTTTCCTATCTTCATTTTGATATATTGTGGGTCGAATTTGGTTAAGAAACGATTGAGTTACGAAGCTTTGAAAATTGCCCAAACTTCCGGCCAAGAGCTGCGGGACATTTAACGAAATGACCAAAATGATGGATGGTGGACAATCTCAGGGACCACTTTGATTGATTTGAAATGTTAGGGACCAAAGTGATGAGTTATGCAAATCTCAGGGACCATTTGGGTTATTTAGCCATAAATATTGATGTTGTAACACAATGTGATTAATTAAAGGCTTATTATATTAACACCCCACAAATTGTTGAATAAGCCCCACATTTTCTTTTTCAATTAAAAATTATCTAAATACACTCCATATACTTTCTCATAATACCCCCCCACACCTCACTTTCTCAACATACACCTTACATTTTCTACATACACCCCCACATTCTCTATACACCCCACATTTTCATACAAACACTGGTTTTTGTATCTCATTTTGTTTTCTTTTTCGGACAGAAATTTTGCAGAGTTGCTGCTTTCCATGGGGCAGAAAATGAGATTGAATCGTATCTCCAAATTTGTGGGTAAATTATAAGGTGTTTAGACTTGTAAATATCTTAAAGGCTCTTTGTCCAGGAGGGAGGATTACCTTCCATAAAGTGCATCCATTTTCATCTGTCTAAGCTTGTGTGTTATTTTTCTATTAACAAAGATTTCATAATTCTGATCAGAAATCTTTCTTCTTCTACTTTTGTCATCTTTTTACGGTGTGTTATTGTGCCATTGTGTTCCCAATTTAACTAGTATATATGGTTGGAAAAGACTAGATTTTTTCGGGATGCATTCTCTAAATGATTCTCGCACACTTTCGGTTTACCTCATGCGAAGCTTCTGAAACATCGATTTCGTGTTCCATTTGTCAAAAATAATTTTTCTCAAACAACGTGTTGTAGTTTCGTTAGTTAGGGTTTTGTTCAACAATGGAAGGCGGAAATAAGTTTTGATAGTTGAAGAAGATAAATAATTCATTAAGTGATTTGGGGTGTATTTAGAACTTAATAAGGTCGAAATTGTCATTCCATAGTAGGGAACACAAGTCATTTAATATTAAATTTTAATGTGGGGTGCATTCAACATTATGTGTGGTGCAAATAAAAAAAAGCCTTAAGTAAATTCTAAGTGTAGATAAATTATGAATCCTTTGAAATCTGGAAGATCTTTCTTATTAGACCTTATATTACTTGGTGAACAAGTTATTATTTCCTTATTATTATCATTATAAATAAAGGCACTATACATGAATATCATCACAGAATTTCTCAAGCCTTTCTTCATTTTCCTTTTGCCACACCCTCTTCTTTCTCTTTCTAGATTTTAGGTCACAACTAAATGTTTCAAAAGACGCTAGTCGGTAGTCAGGTGGTGGATTAGGGTCTAGTACCTAGGTGGGGCCTAAGCGGACTAGGCAAATTTAAGTAAACTTATTATATATCACCTAAATAAGTGTTTGTTTATACATAAAAAATAAATAATTGTATTGGAATATATAAATTGAAAAATAGAAATACATATAGATTAGAAAGTATTATAACCTATTGAAAACATGGGGAACCAGAATATAATGAGTGCTCATCTAAGTATTCAACAAATCACTTACACTAAAATAAAATAAAATGCAAAATGAAAGTTATCTATTTTCTGTCTAAGTGAGAGTCGCAACCTAAGTGGGTGCTTAGGAGGGCGCCTAGACGGGTTAGGCGAACGCCTAAGCAGGTCTAGGCGACCTTTCTTAATTTTCAAATACCCAGTGATTAATTGAGGCAGTGGTTAGCCACCTAGCGCCTAGGGAGGCCTGGGCAGCAATCGGCAGGGATTTTTAGAATAGTGGTCACAAACGGTATTACCATAATTTGCTTCATTACTCGACGCCTGGCAGAGTCAAAGAAATCAAAGGAAACCAAGTAGCAATGCATTATTGTATGGTAGAAAGTATGAATTCTATATGGAAGGGAGAACGTAGCTCTAGCATTGCCATGGATGAAACAACATCACAATCATAGATTGAGGGTCAACAGTTAAACTACAAAGAGTTTGACTTAGACCTTGACCCCCTAGACGACATCACTCTGGAATCTAAAGTCGAAGAGGACGTTATCAATATCATTATCATCATTTCAATATCATTATCATCCTTGACAAGCCAAAATGTAGCTAAGGTAAGCTTTAGGTTATCCGATCACAAGAGAGAATTGTTCACAGCCTTCATGGTCACCAAGGATACGCCAGGAATTAGCCTTTCCATCATTTGTCATTGACTCAACTTAGATCCCACTGCCAAGCCGGTTATTCAACGGAAACAGAATCATGGCATAGAACAGAGCAAGATCATTGAGTCAGAGATCTACAAACTCTAGGACGCCAACTTTATTGTTAAGGTCCACTACCTTGATTGGTTAGTAAATGTGGTACTTGTACAAAACAAGAATATGAAGTGGATAGTTCATGTGAACTTCACCAATCTGAACAAGGCATGCCCTAAGGATCTGTACCCTTTTCTTTAGATTAACTTGCTGGTAGACTCCACGGCGGGGCACAAGTTGCTAAGCTTTATCGATGCCTACTCCGATTATAACCAGATAAAGATGTATGAGCCAAAAATGGAAGCAACTTCCTTCGTCATAAACTGAGGTACGTACTATTCCAAAGTTACACTATTTGGTTTAAAAAACCGTAAAAGGGTTAACTGAATCTTCAAGGAGAAAATCGAAAGAACGATGGAAGTCTATAAGTATGACATGGTTGTCAAAAGAAAAAAGAGGAAGAACCATCTCGATCACCTTTAGGAATCATTTGACTTACTCTAGAAGCACAACATGAAGTTCAACATGGAGAAGTGTACTTTCGGAGTGACATCTGGAAAGTTATTGGGTTACCTAGCAACCAAACACGGAATAAAGGCCAACCATGGCCGAATGAAAGCGATCATGGATATGAAGTCCACAAAACAATAAAGGAGATTATGAGTTTAATCGGGAGGGCAGCAACGCTTAGCCATTTCCTTTCATGATCCACCGACAAGTGCAAACTCTTATTTATTGCTATAAAGAAAACTAGAGATTTACTCTAGATGGATGAGTGCAAGGAAACCTTCATGGAAACTAAGGGAATACTTATCTAATCCGCTATTACTAACTAAACTGGTACACGGGGAGGACTCGTACTTATACCTAGCACTGTTGGACTGCGTGGTTAGCGTGCCTTTGCTTTAAGAAGACCCGTAGAAGTTAAAGACATATTATATCTCTAAAGCTCTTCTTAAACCAGAAACTTGATATCCCAAGATGGAAAAACTCATCCTAGCCCTAATAGCAGCCATGAAACTCTAGATGTGCTTTGAATCATTTAGAGTAGTCTACATGATGGAATACCTCTACAATCCATCCTGCAGACACATCTTCTTGAATCACCAAGTAGGCCATCGAGCTGGGGTAGGATGATATCATTTATCGTTCTAAGACCTTTATCAAAGCCCAAGTGCTCACGAACTTTGTGGCAAAATTCACATTAGTAGTTGAAGACATTCAATCATTCGCGGATTCACATAACACACCTAAAAATCCTCGTATATAGAAACTCTACGTGGACAGATTTTCAAACGTGAGCGGGGCATAGACAGAAATTATCTTAATAACGCCAGATAGATCTATACTAGAGCAGGCCCTGAAGTTGGGATTTAAGGCTAGCAATAATGAGGTAGAATACATGGCACTACCTGCGGGCTAAGGTAGAATTACAAGTCAAGGAACTATCAGTTTATTACGATTCCATGCTAATGGTGAATCAGGTTAAAAGTGATTACGCCGTTCATCATCCAATGATGAGGCT